CCTGCAAATTTCTTTTTGTTTTCAATGAATTTCCACAGTGTTTTTCGTTTGGATGGTTTAGCCATATACGGCTTCTTACAAAAAGTGAGCCTTTATATGGCAAAAACTCATTCTATATTTCTATATAACAGTAATTTGACAGGGAAATTAGCTGCGCAAAAATTAAGCTACGTAGGTCGGTTTTTTCGGACTCAATCCCCTACAAGGTTTTTGATGATCAGTCAAGCTTTGCATGGAAAGTACGTATAATGTTCGGTATCACGGTATACTAGAAATATAAAATTCATACTAGAAATAATAATTTGTTCAACCTATATTTTTCAATTTTTTTTCCACAATTTTTTTTATTATTACTATTATTATCATTATTATTATAATTTTAGACTAATGAAATAAATTCTTAGGTTAAAAAACAAGACATGGAGCAGGCTATAGGCTCTATTTTATAAAAGTACATTAGATATTGGGCCTAGTAGTTTTGAAAGTAATACATTGTGTGCATATTTTGCTCTGTAGTTGATTGTAGTATGTCCATAGGATTAGTCGCTCCGAAAGCAACACTTCTAGCCAAGGAAAAGGTAAGGCAGCCACAGAGAATGTGTTTTATAGTGAGAATTTGTCCACAATTGCAGATTGAGGAGGAAGATTTGTTTAAGATCCAATGATGAGTTGCTATTGTATGGCTAAGGCGAATTCTCGAAAATGTTTGGATCTTAATTTTCTCAATATTTGTTGGATATAAAAGTGGAATTAACTAACGTTTAATAGAAGAGTAGTGCTGATAATGGTATTGTATATTACCTTCTGTAATTTTCTCTTCACCTTTTTTTTGCAATACATCTTTGAAGATCCATACTTCGCCGCGTTTTGAGTTTTTTTAGCTATTAGTTTCCTGAAGATTTGGAGCATCTTCTTTCTTGTGGATGGACAGCGAAATGTCAAAAGGGTACTCTTTCAAAACGCACGGGGGTTTAAGACCATAATAGCGGAACATTTTTAAGAGAATCTTCAATTTCTTCGCAACGTATAAACAATCGACAATTGCAGATGATGGCTTTCGAATTTCCTTCGCAATAGTAATCTTTCTCACATCTTCACCGAGAATAGATTTATTTGAAATAAGAAGTTTGGGACTATTTTAGCTCTTAACTCATAAAGTCTATTTTTTAAAGCTGGGACACAAGTTTCAATTCTAATATTATTCACCGGCGTCGTCCGAAAACCATAACAAATTGCTCTGAGGGCTTGCTGATAGACCGATCTGAGGATGTTGATATCAGATTTGCAGTTATTGCCATAAATTATTAAAGCATAGTCAATCCTGCTCAAAACAAGCATTTTAGTAAGGTAAGCAATAGTGTTAATGTGTGCATGGCTTTTCCAAGCAACGTACTGTATGAAATTCACCCTTGTTAAAATGGAATTTTTTAACCGAAGACAGTGTGTTTTCCAACGATATTTGTTTGAAAACGTCAACTCGAGAATATGGAGCGTCTGCACGTTTTGTACTGGTAAGTCATTAATAAGCATCAGTAGATTTTCTGAATCGCATATCTGCTTTCGACAAAGTTGCATTTTTTGGATTTTTGTATAGAAATTTCAGCTCCTGACAAGTTTGCCCATGTGAAAATTTCTCGTCCATTAGATTCGAGGACGTTGATTGCCTTCATGCTATCTTTTTCTTTTGTAAAAATGTGTACATCGTCCGCGTAGAGACAACGTTCGATTCTCGGTGCAGGATTCTGCTAATTTCGTAGAAAGCGATTTGGGAAAGCGTGACAGAAAGAGAAGATCCTTGCTGAATGCCATTCATTAGCGAAAAGGAATCAGAGAGATGATTGTTGATTCTAAATTTAAACCGTCGATGCGACATGAATGATTTGTAGTAGTTGAAAAATTTAGGACCAACATTCCATGTAGGATATATGGTTAGTCAAAAATACCGTATTATATAGGTCCAGTAATTTCTTTTTAGTTGAATTAGACAGAGCACTGATCATTTGGTATGATATCCGGTCTAGACCAGGTGTCCTCCCCGTCGATTTGGAGAGACAATTTTCAAGTTCTAAAGTAGATACGCAATTTTCCATGGACATATTATCTTGATTTTTTGAGTCCAAAAACCTGATTACAAAGCAACACGTTAGTTCCACAATTGTTATTTTGGTAAGTTTTTTTTTTTCTTTCTTCAATTTTTCAAAGTTTTTTTTTATATTTTTCAATTTCAAGAGAATAGAATTGCCTTCAATAAATGGGAACGCTTCGATTATGTTAAAATTTGTGAGAAATTGAAGTGAATATTCTGTTAAAAAGTCATTGTTCTGTTAAAAAACCTTTGTCATGACGAGGGAGAAGGAATAACCAGCTCCTCTGTTAAAAGTAATCAGATCTTCTGTTAACACTCATTTATAGCTAAAGAAGTCAAAAAAAGATTTACACTAAAGACTATTTTATATGAACACTGGTTATAAGAATTCCTAATTTATAAATTGCCTGCAAATATTTAAAGTATTTGATTTGAACGTGTAATTGGACCTATTACTCTGAGACATTCACACGTCATTTCGCGTTGCAATCGGTTATATTGGCCACGTTCCAAGGAACGCAGTTCTGTTCTTTCCTTCTATTCACAACACATGGTCCTTTTTTTTATTAAACCATGTAAAGGAAAAAATCTGTTTCGCATGTACATGAAGAATGATGTAGAGAATATAATCAAAGATTTGGCTTAAATTGCGTTTTATGGATGGTTTTATGGTTGCAGCCAGTAAGTTTTCGTTCGAATTGAAATATACGATAGCGATGCAACAGTTCCCTCAATCAAGCTCTTACTCATCTTTCTAAAGGGATTTGGTAACCTACATTATATATTAAGAGGATTTGGTATTCAGTGCTTATCCGGCAGTTAATGTCATATACTTGCAAATGAATCTAAGTAAAAAGTTGTTATGGTTTGCCCAAGAGCATCTAGAAATTCGAGCGGCCGTAAATGCATGTACATACATAAACAAGAATAAGATTTCACTTGCGTATACACGAATAGTTGAATCCAAACACGTCTCTTTAAGGCAAGTTTAAGACAGTGAAACTATTACAACAACCCATTATGTAACATGATATTAAAAACAGACTCTTTTCCTTTTTCTTTTTTGAAGTTTGCCACAGTAGATATCAAAAATAACTTAAACAAATCTGGAAATCCATTCATTTAATCTCCATTAATCTTTAGAAGCTTATATAATGAATCAGGATGATGCTGATAAGGCAATACGTGAATATTTTTGTCTAAAATGGCATATATGAAAAACTAAATGTTTCTTCAGGCCCATTATCTCTCATTTATCAAAATGTTAGGGGCCTTAATTCAAAAATTCGTTCTGAACACGGAGTTTTTCTGTTTGGTCTTCACCGAAACTTGGCTAAAACCCGATCTTCGTTCGTCGGAACTTTTTCACAATTCTTCAGAAGAAATCTTCAGAAAGAATCGAGTGAATCGCATTAGTAGTGGTGTATTAATTGCCATATCTGCGTCAGTCCCGTCCAATGCAATAGAGTTTCCCACTTCTCCTGACGTTGAATTTATCGCCATTCGTGCGATAATGCCCAATAAACAGCTATTTGTAACCTGCTCCTATATTCCCCCAAATTCTGATATCTCCATTTACAAGAAACACGCTGTCCTCATTTGTGAAGTGGCCAAGCGGTCTAGACTTAACGATTTGGTCGTTGCATTGGGTGGCTTCAACTTGCCTCAAGTCACTTGGTGATAGTTCTGGCTGTTTGATTCCTACTTCAACGTCTGATAGGGCTGTTGTGTTCTTTAATGAATTGTTTGATCATAATTTGGATCAATATAATCGCACCCCTAATTGTAATGGTAGACTGCTTTATCTCTGCTTTGCCAACTTTCTTGACATTAACGTAAATCGTTGCCCACCTTTTAGTTTACCTGGGCACCCTTATCATCCATCAATGTGCATTTCCTTTCATCATAACTATGATGGTTCGTTGAACTGCCTTAAGATGCCAAATCAATCTTTTTTAAATAAATGTTATGATTTTTACAAAATCAATATTGTATTGCTAAAACATCGTCTTTCACATATGAGGGTTGATTTCTCAACCGGAAGTATTGAAAGTTTATTGTCATCGTTCTACAATACATTAAATCTAGCTATTGCTGCATCTGCTCCGATCAAGCAGTGCCGACCTCGAAGCAGGTGTCCCCCGTGGTTTAATAAGACAATTAAATATTACAAGAATATAAAAAAACACGCTATTCAAAAAATATTCGAAAAGTGGCTCTGCGCTCGACTATTTCGCTTACTCGGTGGTGAGGCATAGATTTAACTCCCTCAACCACCATTATTACTGCAGATACCTTCAGTTCATTAAATCCTCTATGTTTGCTAATCCTAAATACTTTTTTAAATTTGTTAACTCTAAAAGAAAAATTTCCACATATCTCTCTCATGTTTTTTTAATGGCTCTGATTCCTCGGATGATTTTGAAATCTCAAATCTGTTTGCTGAGTATTTCCGACGAAACTTTTCGATTGCTAATTTCGATTTATCAGCAAACTACCCATAACCTATAACTAACTTTGTCTCAATTCCTAACTTGGTAATTTCGGAAGATGACGTTTTGAAACGGTTGATTTCTCTAAAATTGTGTGTTGTGCGCCAGGACCTGATGGAATTCAATCTTATGTACTTAAATCTTGCGCTGTCGAGTTATGTGGTGTGATCTCAAAGATTTTTAACCTGTCCTTGAATTTAGGTGTTTTCCCTTCGTGTTGGAAGAGTAGTTTCCTTATTCCTATCCACAAGAGTGGAAGAAGACAATTTGTTGAGAACTACAGAGGCATACCCAAGTTGAGTGTCTGCCCAAGTTGTTCGAGCGAATTGTGACTCAGCATTTCGCCTTTGCCATTAATTCATATATTTCTCCGCACCAGCATGGCTTTCGGAAAGGGCGATCTACAGTCACCAACTTGTTACAGTTTACTTGTCATGTTTTGAAGGCTTTTTCTAGTCGGTCTCGCACAGATGTTATGTACACTGATTTAAGCAGAGTGTTTGATAAGGTTAATCATAACTTAAGCTCTTATCTGAACAATAGATCTTTCAGGGTTTTGTTAACCTTCATCACCTCGGCTAGCCGTTAGGTATGCGAAAGAGTAGAAAGAGAGAAAAATCATGCGAAGAAATTTGGTGGTGGGTTTTGGTGTGTTTGGCTGATTGTTAGAGAGTCGAGTGGTAGCTGCCCAAGCAAACGGTCGCTTTTATTTGCCTATTGTACAAAGAAGATATAAAAAAACAATTAAGGAAACGCATATTTTATTTAAAGATTTGATTAACCCGGTTGCATATTAGGCTCTTTTTTTTTGTAAGAAACGCGTCCTGAATTTTTTTTTTGTTAAGAAAATTGAAAACTTGAGATTTTGTATAAAAAGTTCAGATAAAAAATCACGTTCAAAAAAAACTAAGGAAAGGATTCATGAAAGAAAAAAAAAAGGAAATAAGCTTTGACATGTGCTTAAGTTGATTTAAAACAAAATTATTCACAAAAAAAGATGGGAAAAGAAAGGAAAAAAAAAGGAAGCAAAATTCTACTTTAACCATTTAAATAATTCTTAAAAAAAAAAAAAAAAATATGAATACAAACATTAGTTTATTGGTATAGTTTTGTATTATGAGTTCGATTATTGTACTTATTAAGAAAAGAAAGAAAAAATGTTTTATTTGCAAGTTTTTTCCTGACAAATTGATAATATCTTGCGGACTAAAGTGAAATTCTGTATAAAAAAAGGAGAAATAAGTAAATAAGCGACAACAAAGTTAAAAAAAAAGGAAAAAGGGCATACCAATCATCAAGCCAAACTTGAAAAGAAAATTAAGCTACGGCAGATGAAGGTAAAACCTTTTCCAATACAGAAAACCTTCGTATTAGCATTTGCGTTGATTTGCAAAAATAAAGAACAGGAGAAAAATTGCATGTGACAGATTTACGAAAAGAAATTTTTATTAAATTAAATTGAGAATTTAACTACGGATAAGAAGTGTAATTTACTGTAATAAAGTTATGATTTATATACGAATGTATTGTTATACAGGTCAAGGCAAATGTCAATGTCGTTAAAATCGCAAAATATATGTGAAAAAAAGAAGACTTTTTTTCTGGCAAAATCTTGAGGTTTCGCTTTAATTAAAGCGAGTAGGAAAGCATCAAAATATGGCTAGTGAAACGGTGAACGTACCAGCCTAAGGAAGTCTACTATTAACGTGTGGTGTTCGGTAAGGCGGCTGAGCAAATTAGTTCCTACTAACATTGCTGCCGGACCTGCCGCCTGCCTTGCCTAGAAGAGGCGATGATCTTGTATGTACTGCGCCCACATCGGCTATTGTGGAACATTAGCACCTGGAGCAGCCAGCGTGTGTCTGCCACGAGGATGCCACCTCTCTACCTGGCCCTTCATCATCTCAACGGTCAGGTATTATTAGATGTAGACCGAAATGCCAGCGGTAATAAGAAAAAAATTAAAATTTATAATTGCTTGGCTATAAAATTTAAATCATAATGAGCGGCTAAGCGGAATATGCCGCCGCTGTAGCAGGGGTATGGATGGGTGCGCGGACTAAAAGAGGACCAACGAACGACGGACAACAGATTTCATAAATAGACTTACACCGTTTTTCAAGAACCAAGTATTCTTTAATTTGCATTTTCTTTGTTTTGTTTTTTTTTTTTTTCATTGTCATGCGGTCCAGCGCGCCAGCTCAAATAATTTAATCGCGCTACCGAAAGGTGAGCTAGGGCCGTGACACACCTTGAGATCGATGCTAACACTGGGCAAATTCGTCTACAGCCACGTACGTAGAGTTTTATTATATACCCAGAGATATATGACAGTTTGCGCCGGAATTCTGTTTAAGAGGCTAAGTAAAATTTAAAAAATATTCTAATCACAATTACCATTGGACGCTTCTTTTATATGGTTAATCACATAACAACTTTCTTAAACGTGACGTTGCTCGATATTAACGATCATGAACAGCAAAGGCCGGATAAGCTACAATTCTCGTGCAGAAATGTTTCGAGAAGGCAAATATTGCTTTGAGATGATCCAGCTAATAAGAATCGTTTACGAACTTCTCTGCATCTGTTATAGGCCAGGCAACACAATTATTTAGCTAAAGGCTTACAAGATAAATATCTGACGTGGAATGATGAGACCGTTTTTTAAGAAAGTCTTAGAATACTTGGAGCTCAAATAGGTCATATATTTAATAATAAATTTTTGTCTGCGCTTTTGAAACGAAAATTGACTGCTAAGAAAGGATTACTTCCTCAAAATGACAATTTAGATGCGTCTGATATATGCCGTAATCGACAACCAGAGACCCGAACGCAACGATGCCTTCTTATTATCGTACTCACAATAACATCTTGGAAAATGTTTTCAGTTACAAAGTCTTAGAAGTTATTTTTGATTCAAAACTCAAGTTTGACAGTCATACTGAAGTATCCGTTGATGAAATTGAATCATTTTTAGGGTTTATAAAAAGATGGTCTAAAGAATTTAAAGAAGTGCTTGTATACTTGTTTAATTAGACCAACTGTTGAATTCTCGTCGTCGATGGTTTGGCTTCCTAGTTGTAGATGCCATATTGATTTCTTGGAGTCTGTTCAACGGGAGTTCTTGATGTTTGCCTTGTGAGGTTTGGGGTGGGATCCAGCCCACTTCTTCCACTGTATAAGAATAAATCATTGATTTGCCTTCCCTTGAAAAAAGGAACAAATGGTGGGTTAAACCTTCCTTTGTAAGCTAAACAAAGTTAATGTTTGCTGGCTTTAGAAGAACTTATTAATATTAATATCCCTAGTAAGATATGAAAACGTATTGTGCTATAGAACAACTACAGCCACCCCGATGCTGTACAGTTGTTCAATCCGTTTCGGGTAATGTGTCAAATGTTGAACGATCACTACCATTTACTTGATCTGTCGGTTTACTGTTAAGTCGTTGAGTCTTTCATATATAAAGGTAAATTGAATCAAAATACACCTTTATATTTGTTTCTTTCGTATTTGTTACTATTAATAATGTATAAATAAACTCATATTCATTCATCAATACACATCAATATATATCATCAATATATATCTTAATTTAGGATTTAGACGAATTTTGTTGTACATTATACCTTGATCTCATGCTTATTTTTAGTTTTTTTTTTTTCTTTATATTACATTTTAAATTATTTTACAGCTTAAGGTAAGGACTTGGTCCGTAGCGGGATTCAGTTAATGAAATAAATAAATAAAATTTTTGGAAATTTTTCGCGTTATTCTCATTTATTTACATTTGTAAATAGTTGTAAATTTAAGCATATATTCAGGAACAGTTTATTGAACATAAAATTAGCACAAATAGCACGTCCGTAGCTTTTTCATAAAAATGTTAATTCGTTGATGCTTATGTTAGTCTTCATTTTCTTTGCGAAGACATAATAGCGGCCTTTTTATGACAAGCGCCAACATCAATCATTAGGTGCGTATAAAAATTTTTGATGCGCAATATTATGAATACATATTTGTTTGCTTTTGCTTTTTTTTGGGTTATAAAATTTCTGGCAGATAAAACTATGTGGAAAGGGAAAAATATTTTAATAAATTTTCTTTGATAATTTATAAGCTAGACGTAAAGATTGCCAAAAATAATTCTAATATATAGATAAAGATGTAGACATGTATACAGCAAATTATATTGAAAATTTGAGAATTAAAAAGGTGAATACTCATAGCACATATGACGATAGTATTTGCGAAATTTTAACTGCGTTCGTTTTAACAACTTTCATTCTTCTAACAAAATCTCTTTCGCCTAAAAATGGCCTCTTAAAGTAACAATACATGCAAAATAAAAACGTGTCTTTCAAAATGCAAATTTCACCGGTAAATGAAGCAAAAGGCTTTCACGAAATAAATAAAATATATAAATCCGACAGTGATGAAATCTTAAGTATGATAAAAAGAAATATTTTTTAACTTGTATCGCATCTTCCATATTTGTATATCAAAAATTACTTATTGGAACATCGAGCATTAAGAAAGATTGGAGCGTTTGGATTTCCGTTAATATTGAATTTTACTTATTCCATTATCAAAAGATAGCTTCTGTTTGCTTTTGAGCACTTATTTTTAGGGTACATGCATATAAAAACACAGAGTCCAAACTCGAAAGCAATACCTTAGTGGCCTCTAAAATGAATTCTTTTAGAAAATAAGTATATTGCGCTTGGCGTATTATAAACTATATAAACTAAATATAAGCGGTCCAAAACCAAATTTTGTAGACTTGGCAAGTTTATTGAAGGTAAGTTATAAATAATTAAATAACATTGATCTACGATATACTAAAATAGCCAAAGACCTGTACAATTAAAAAAACCATCTGCCTACAAGAACCTAATATGTGAAGTTTTGATTCAATCTTATTCAATAGATAAAATTAATAACTAACAACTTTAGAACGACCATTTCGCGCCTTTCTAGAATTTTAGTTCATTACGACAGATCATGCTATAGACTTCTTTGCTGATTGGCTCATATTTGCCTGTACATGTTTGATAATATAAAGGATCCGTAATGATATTCGGATCATAACCTTCTTTTTGCAGATCAATTTTTCGCAATTTAAATGTTCCAGTCAAGTCAATCTTAGTGAGAAAACGTAGAAACTGTGGCCTTGCATAGACAGGCAATACTTTTTTTAAATCTAACGTGAAGCTATCCAAGTCTAATTGTCGTTCTGGATCGTAAATAGCAGCCATACCAGCTCTACCTTCTGTATTTGGAATGGTAACTCCGTATACAATTGTATCCCTATATCCAACTAGGGTGGTTAATTGAGTTTCAACTTCACCTGTGGAAACATTCTCTCCTTTCCAACGAAATGTATCACCGGTACGATCTATGAAGTAAAGGTAACCTTTTTCATCGGATACAAGCAAATCACCGGAAATGAATGCCATATCGCCTTTTTTAAACACGTCGTAAACCACTTTTTTAGCTGAAGCAGTTTGATCAACGTAACCTAGGAATTCTCTTGCGGGATTGCCTGGTACAATTTTTCCAATAAAGACACCTGGTTCTTGAGGTTTGCACAATTGACACAAACCGTTGGGACCACGTATCGGTTCACCAGTGTCGGGATCTGCCCTTATAATCGAAATAGGATATATCTGAGGCAATATGCGCGAAACAAATCCAATGGCTCCGACTGTGTTGTCGTGGTTCATAATGTTTGCATTGCCTTCGGTTGCTCCGTAAAATTCACCTACTTTACTTATGTTAAATCTTTCAGTAAAGCGCGGCCAAATTTGAGGACGTAATCCGTTACCAAATACCATACGCACTTTATGTTTGTGGTCATTTTCGGAAAGTGGTGTTGCTAAAATATATCTGGCCATTTCCCCTATGTACTGACCAACCTGAAAAATAAACGTACATTTAGTAGTAGTAAAAGCTTAGGACTAGAGGCATAAAATCTAGTAGAAATGGAAATCGACTCCCCTGGCTAAACTTTTAAATTGATAACGGAATAGTAAGTCGAATTTTTTAGTATATTATCTCATAACTTACGAATCATTTAAAAAGTGTTCCAAAAATAATCTTATCTTCTATTTATGCCGGCCGAATGCAAAACAAATTTTGAATTGGAAAGCATTTTTAGATACAGTTGTTGCAAGAGTGAAATTGTACCTGGTAGGTATTAAGAGATAGAAATATAATGGTTTATGTATTTATCTGTTCGCATATACAGAGTTCAACTGCAGTACAGATTCGATTGTTGCAATTGAAGTAAAAGAAACTTTAAAACTACGGAACTAATACATGCATTTAAAAATAAGATACTCATCTAGTGCAACCACACGCTTAATATCTGACATACATCAACTAAGAGTATATCTAGTGGACAATTAGCAAGTGTTGACATACAGCTTAGCAAAAATTTAACAACATTATTTAGTAGGTTGATAATAAAAACATTAAATATTAGTTTAAGTATGACGTCGACACTACACTGACTGTGCAAAAGAGTGGTTTTAATGGAATGATGGGATCGGGTTACGAGATTAGGTTAAAATTTCAATTTTTGCGGAGGGTGCTAAGTGGATTACAAAGTTCGGAATTGGCTAAGGTTTGTAAAAAGAACTTTCATTGACAAGCGGATAGGAATATTCAAGTTGATCTCATTTAATCAAACAGACGATTCAATGACACCCTTTATCAACTTTACCGTGAAGGTAATGCCTGAGGCTACCCTGCCTTTCCCAAATGAACGTACAGCTGTAACTCGTAACCTATTTTAGATGTGAGCTTTCCGCACTTTATACAGATAAGAAAATTGCAAAGTTAACAGAGCTATAAGATCATCACCACCAATTTTACTTAATATGTCGTTTGTAAACAAATGCATGCCAGCAGCATAGAGTTCAGAGCTCTAACTGCGTGTTTGAAGCATCAGCTAAATCTCAGTAAAAGCTAGCACTGAAAACTCGTGGCTTAAGTAGCTAAATGATCGCATCGATAACTTAGAATGCGAGCTTGTCACTTTTATGTGAACAATGTCAGTTCAGATAATGGGAACACCTTTAAACACACATACACGTAGTTACTCACCGTCGCATTGTATTTAAAGCAATCCGCAAAATAGCTAGACGCAGAAAACTTCTTACGTATGGCAACTGTGCACCCAAATATCAAAGCTTGTCCCATACTCATTATCCCACCAGCTGTGTGATATAACGGCAAAGGGGTATAAAATATATCGTTCTGTTCGAAGCCCAATGTGTAGTGAATTCCAGCCGCAATGAAAACATATCTAAAAATGAGAAAGCAAACATTAAACCAAATGTAACTTCAACAACTTCATCAAGCATCAGAGTAACAACAAATACAAGAACAACGATAACTCCACTAAACATCAGGGTAACAATCAGTGCAACTATAACAGCAATAACTTCAACAACTTCTTCAGCATCAGGACAACAACAAAAACAACAGGTATCTACACCACTACAACAGGGTGTGAGTTCAGGTCAGTAAGCAACATATAGGCAAAAAACGTGGAATGTATATTGAGAGTTTATCCGTCTAACAGCAACAAGCACATTCCCCTAGGGGTGAAGCTTAAATAGACAAAAGAATAGGAAAACCTAAAAGAAAATTTAACAAGCGATAGCGAACTACTTTTCCTCCTTTTAATATAAATGAAATTACACCCAACCCGAAATCTCAAATACTACCGTGATCCACGCGAAATAATACCATCATAATAGGAGTAGATGCTAGTAGGATAGGAACGCTCAAGAATTACGGGAAATTATTAACAAAGCCAAAAAAGAAGAAAATATTTAAATTGTGAAATTCGGGAAATAAGAAGTAAATAATTATCGCAAAAGTGAAATTCCTTACGAGAATATGAATTGTCCTTATTATGTTGCTATTGCTTTTGTACGTCATTTGTAAGAGTGTTCACGGGCATAACATTTAAGGCTTTGCCACTGCAACCAAATTTCTAAATGATCGATTTAGTTAAAAGGTGAATATTAACGATCGAACAGCATAATTCTGAGTAATTGCGAAAACTTTAAATTCTGAAAATCTAACCAAAATTTACCTAGCAGCACTGAGATATAAAATAAATACAAGAAAATACTAGTAAGACTATGGGAAGATAAATGTGGGAAGCCATTCAGCAATAAACGGTAGGCTAAACGAGAAATAGCTTCAATTAATAACAGAGATTTGATTCAAAAAAAAAAAAAAAACTTTAACGTTCGTAAAGGAATGCAGTTAAAATTTTTCAAAAGTAGAAGTTAAAGCAAAACATTAAGCAAGATCACTGGAAACATTTCTCGTTCAAGAAAAAAAAAACAAATTTCAAGGATAGTGAGTCCCCTTCCCCTTTAATGGAAATTTAGATAATACGTGCGAATGACCTGCATCTATTAGTTAAAAGGCTTCTTATAGGCCAAAGGTTTCACGCATCCCTGTACTAAAGGTATAACCGAACTTACCTCTCGTAAAAAAATTTCGATCATGTTCGAAAAATCTGTAGGTCGTTTTTAGAAGCCCTGCGGATTATAAAAGCAAAATTACAACCATTCCTGTAATCATTTACCGAATCTTTAAAATCGAAGTAGGAGTGAGGAAGCGACAACCATCTAGTAGAACCGTATACCCCTATTCAAAATTTAGTGGAAACTTTCTTCTAACAGTGCGACCCTAAAGATAGTGTAAAACTTTCTGAAGTACAAATATAAAGTTGCACATGTGGTTGGTCAATATATTGACCGGAAATTACCAAAATTTGGAAAATAGATTTAGTTTCTCAAACAAGTAATGCAACTCCCTATTCGTCATTTAAAGATTTCACAAAAATTGAAAAGGGAATACGAAATTTATGGTAGAGGTGTACGTTGTCAAGCAAATCACCTCCAGAAAGGAAAACAAAACGATAAATAAATAAATACCATAAGTGAAGTTTTAAACACGGTTTGAGGAATTAAATATTTCAATAAATAAACTTCCACAGCCAAAACAAAGGCACTTTATTCCAATGCGAATAAAGCATAACAAGTAAGAGAATAGGGAGAATAATCAGTAAAAGAAAACCCAAAGAAGAAATATATTGGTCGTCAACAACTCATGATCTATATGAAATCTATTATTCTGCAATTTTGAAAATTGTTACAAATAACAATCATGCAAATACATAAGCAACTAACCCTCATAGAAATTTGTACGGGCCAAGAAATAATTTAAAAAAAAAAAAAAACAACAGACAACAACAACAAATCCTAAACAAAAAAAAAATAGCAAACCAAATACAAAAAAAAAAATAAAACAAGATCGCCAGCATGACATCGCCGCTTCGTGTCACCTGGGTGCACTCCCTACGTCGAGATGAACTCCAAGCCTGCCTAGGGGCGCTCGACCTAGACATCACCGGTACCGTCCAAAAAATGAGGAGCCGTTGGGCACAATTCATCAATCAGGACCACGAGCTCGAGATCGTCACGCGGTTGCTAGAGTTACAGACCCAGCTGGAGGCCCTCACCAGCGATCGCTGTCATCAGCCTCCCACGCCAGAACTGGGGCTGACGGGATGCCCATAAATGCATGTACCGGTGACGATAAAGGAGCACCGGCAACCCTCCCCACCACAGCGACAACAATCAACGATCACACCAATGGCATCACAACAGCATCGCCCACATTTACATAGATAACATTAACAACAAATGCCAACCGAGCAGCACGATCACAACAATGGCATCACAACAGCACTGCCCACGTTTCCATAGCCAAAATTAACAACAAATGCCAACCGAGCAGCGTAACGATTACATCAACAGAATCACAGCAACAGCATCAACGTTTACATCAACGACACCAACGATAACAACTATCATAACAGCAACATCATTCGCGGTAATCCCAACTATTATCACAATAACGGCAACAGGTGGCTAACGTGATAAACACAACACCAGCAAACAGCACAGCAAACAACGATAACAGCCATCACCAACTCAACATCGCTAGCGTTAACATCAACTGTTACCGCAACAACAAACAACGACAACAATAACAATGAAAGTCACAACAACTACAATAAATTCAACGCCACAACAAACAACGCTCATACCAACCGCAAAGAGCGCACCACAATTGCGTCAACATTCCACCAGCAATTCAACACAAGAACAAAGTCACCCGCAGCCAAGGGTCTGTCAACCCAAATACGTACTTAGCGGCGAACATTGGCACAACCCGTACCTCCCTGGCCAATGGTCCGGCGATTCAATGCCGGAAAGCTAAAGGTACACAAAAGCTGACGGGACCAACGGCCAACGTTCCGACACCACCAATGTCGGAAAGCTGAAGACAATAGGCTCCGCGCCATCGAAGTGATAGCACCCTGCTCTGCTCTCACAACGTTTAATTTAGTAATAATCAAAAAGTAACGATCTAAGGCCAACTTTTACATTATACAAAGGCAGACCTAATCATAAATAATGATGAAAAGATAATATGTGTGCTAACGTTAATGTAATGGAAATGAACGTGTTATTTAAATTCAAGAAAAGAATACGGGGGTTTTGTTGTTCACCTTTTTTATTTTTGCTAGATACGGTCAACAGTATTTTTTAAAAGTTAATTAACAATAATTTAATGCTGAAATTTCAGGACGTTCAGAAGTGAAAATAAAGTGAAAAATAATACTTCATGGAAACTAAAATAGATTGTTTAGAAAAAATGGAAAATAGGAAAATAATGCTATTAAAAGCCAAAGTTAGATTAAGTTGAAAAGTGTCCAGATGTGAAAGTATTCTTAAGCCTAATAGCCTACTTCCCAAAATTCCTTCAAGGCTATGCAGAATCAGCAAAATTGCGTACGCATTTGCTTAAAAAAGAAATAACGCTTGTTATAAAAGCAATATGAAACAGAAATTAATGCAACCAGTATTTGTTAATGAACCAATTTTACATATACGCCACACGTTACGCGTTGAAGGAAAACTGCGTCTTATATTCTTTTGAAGCAAGAAAATAGAACAATGTAAGAATGTTTGGACACTGTTGAATTGAATGAAACCCCATAATAAGTCGTAGAATTCGAAGCCATAAAGCGGACGTAAATAGTCGCAGGAAAAAACTGGCGAAGTGTTATCAAAATAAAACATTATTATTACAATGTTAAAAAAGTCGCGGAATTTGCAGGCCCACGTAATACTTCATCTGTGTTGATTATGTGAAGCCGTGGAAAAATCTTAAAGGAAAATATCATCTGGTGCAGACCAATGTCGAATGTAAAAAATATATTATATCAGTGTTTAAAAAAGCCAAAAGAAACCAAAAAGCTGTAAAGTCATGTAGCTGAACACACATCTACATTGAAAATTTTCTTATTTTTATTAATATATTATATCTAATTTTTCTTGATTTCAATTTCTTTGGACTTAAATATCAATGCCAATTTCGTTCTTGTGTTATACGGTTGTAAAAAATGGATTAAAAATCATAATAGATTTTATGATTCTATGGTTCTGAGAGCCTAAATTATTTGTGGTAAGCGTGGATTAATTTTATGCGCCTGTATGCAACGCTCAGAAGAACCCATCGGCCAATTTAGCACCATTTTCTGAATCAATTTGAGTGTGTCTATTCATAAGGCGTGTGTACATGTACCTTTACTACTTACATGGAAGAATTGGTTTATAAGAAAATAGAGTTTTTGAAATGTCAAATTGCATTTTAAAATTATTGATTAATTTTGTGCAGTTAGGTTCGTTAAAATAATTCGGCTTAATGTCAAATGCGAAACGAGCTGATATTGTTCTAACTGAAGAATCCTCAAATTCTCATTTAACAGAAGTGCTGCGAAAATTTCTTATTTAGCAGAAGTTCCGAGAAAATTTCTCCTTTTCGAAGCGTTGCAATTATTACACGCCACACTGTGTTCTCTCTATTCTCAACACATAGTACTTTTTTTATAAACCTTGTAAAGGAAAGAACTTGCTAACGGCATTTAGCAAGAAATCAAAGTCATTTTACAAGTGCGAAAGGAAGTTAGGCAAAGTGAATAATTGCAAAAAAAAAAAAAAATTAACAAAATTTAAAAATATCGAAAGGAAATATAGAAAAGAAAATACATAATAAACATTAGCCTACAGGTTGCAATCGCCGTTATAGTTTAATGACATTTAATGACATTCGCCGACTTTTTTATGACCATTCGCTATACAATGCACAATTTTGAAAAGGTTAGTAGTATAGTATTTGAACTTTTTGAACACCATTTAATATAAAGTCTTTTACAAAACAAGCGCACAAAATCTAGTTTATGATAACAAATGGTACAGGATAATGTTTTGATCTGCAGACTTATTGCTGTAAGTGTTTCTTCCTATGCACTATATCTCTTTCAACATAGAAGGATTCATGTGAAAAATAAGCTTATTATGATTATACTGGTATATTACGACGGATAAATATAGTGAATTTTGAGGCGAAAGAGTGTAAGGCGTTCGTATATACATAGGAATATAATGTTTTCATTACTTTTTGGTTAAAAAACCGATAACTTGAATAGCTTCTGATCTCAATTCCTTTCTTACGTAAAAACTCCAACACCCTTATAGATGACAACTTCATTAAAACAATGAAGGTGAATAATTTGAAATCTTCTGCAGTTTCTTTTCTTCATTCAGAAAGAATGATTAGCAAATTCGTGGAGCACTTACAAGCGTCACACGAACTTGGTTAATTAATTTCAAAACGCTGAAATCCGGTAATGATATTAAAGTCAAAACTTCCAAAAACAAATAACTAGTATGTTCACGTCAATTGGGAAGTGCAATGATACCATAGAGACACAATAAGATTGCGACAAGAACAGAAAGTCAAGCTTACAAAAAGCGTTTATTGAAAACCGAAAGTTTATTATGATTGCTTCCGATCAGGGTGCACAAACCACAAAATAAATGTCACAGCATTGAGGAAAAATAAATGAACAAAAACATATTAAGACATAAGCCGATACTACAGAAAAGGTAGAAATATTGCAGGATAATCAAACACACATTTTACACGGACAGACCTTGCACAGATAAACGAACAGACACGCTTAAACGGATTATTTTATTTATTTATTTTTTTTTTACCCATTTACACTATTCAACTAAAGAAAATTACAGTCGAATTCGGTGCATCGTAAGTGTAAATCTTATACTAATTGTTTTAAAAATTAGTATACAATAAAAACGAAGATAAAAAGAGGAATAATAATAACAAAGTAAGTTAAAAATAAATTAAAAAGTTAAAAATAATAATTCATATATAAATAAATAAAAGGAGAGAAGAACTAAAAAAAAAAAAAACTAAAAAGGCATGTATACAGTTAGCATAGAAGCACACCAGCAACAAGAACAGATGTAGGCTGCAAACACGCATAAGCTTGCCAACCGAAACCTTAACAACACGATATTATTTTAAATAAAAATATGGAATGTTAGTTTAAGTACGGTATAGGTAAATCGCGTATATTAAGCAAAGTTGCTTTAATAGACTTTTAGTTCGATAATGAAATTAAGTGATAGACTTCATTTAGGTTTCTGCAAACAATTCTGAGCGGGTTAAACAGCTCATAATTGTATTTACCTTGAGTAAGCTTAATCAAGATAAAGTGCCTAGCGAAGTGGTTAGGGACATTAAAGCTTATATCACCAACTAATGCGGGCGACTCAATAGTACCATTTATTGCTTTGATCAAGAATGGAATCGCAAGAACAAATCTACGTTTCTCAAGTGACAGTAAGGATAATAGAAGCAATCTATTTTAATAGGGGGGAAGAGAGGCAATCGGGTTCCTACCCAAATTCCTATGGGCAAACAGCAAGAATTGTTTTTGAACAGATTCAATTGAATGCACTTAGCACCTACATGGAGGAGACCACACAACAGAGGCGTACGCGAGTATAGGTCTAACCAAACTCATGTACAGCCTTTGCGTAATGTAAGGATCATCAAGCTCTTTAGACCACCTCTTTATAAAACCATGCGCAGACTTAGATTTGCTTAACGAGAGCTGAATACGCAAGTTAAAACGTAACCTATGGTTAAATAGAACGCCTAAATCTGTGAACGAATCGACGTCCTTCAACTTGTGCAAATCAATTAAATACTGAGTAATGAGTGACTTCCTTCTTGAGAAAGAAAGCTTCTTACATTTATTTAGACTTAGTTTCAGAAGATTCAAAGAGCAGCATGCAACCAAATTACTCAAGTTCAAGTATTCAAGTTCTACGGAATAGGAAGAAAACAGTTTCACATTACCAGCATATATTGAGATCTGGATTTAATCCCCGAGGGCAAATCATTAATGTGTAAATTAAATAAAATGGGTCCTAAGTGGCTGCCTTGAGGTACGGCAGATGTCACGAGGAATTCATCCGAGGTAATGAAGTTAAACAAATAGGGAATGATTCTATCTTAAGTGGTTCTGACTGTTGCATACATCCGCACAATCAAGTCTAAGGTCACAAGTCCGAACAATTGACCTAACAAAAATCTCACGATGCTTTTAAGTAATAAGTCTTAAATAGTAATTTCAGTATGATAAATATTATATTGAAGATTCGCCTGAATTTCTTCAAAATTTGTGCAAAATTGTCCATCTAATATAAGAGATGTAATGAAAAAGCCTACCGTGAATGAGAGATGACAGCAGCTTTTGGCAGTCCTGTGGTGCCTGAAGTATAGATGTATAATAATTTATCATGGTGGAAACTATGCTCCACAGGAGCAGATATTTTTTCTGTAGCGGCTGTTTTAAGTAATGACATTAAATTTCTTGAAGGGCTTTTCACCGGTATATTTAAATCGTTGTTAATTTGATAAAAAGCAATATTTGAAGGGATTTTCTTTGAGATATCGTCGACAACTTGAGCAAAAGCTTCCCCGTAAATTATGGCCGTACATTTAGCTACGGCAATGCTGTGCAACAATGATTGTCCGCGTAGATTAGTGTTAATTAGGGCTGTAATTATCCCAATTTTCGATAATCCTAACCATATTCCAACATATTCTGGACAGTTCCCCAGCATCACACCGACAACATCGCTTTTCTTATATCCATGAGTCAGAAAAACATTAGCCACCTGGTTGGAAAATTCGTGCAAATTCCGAAAAGTCCAAGCTTGCGTTTCACTAACAATCGCAATTTTATCAGGATGTTTAGCAGTATTTTTTTGAAAAATATCCGCAATTGTCAAATTTTTCTTCTCGAGCTTTCTGGTTAAGAGAAGCAGTTTTATATATGCCCAAAGAGCCCTGAAAATAAAAGATTTATTTTAGTTGGTTTAAAAAGTTTTGTCAAAATATTTAGAAAATAGATCTTCAGTGATAGGAATCTAATTTTAGAAATATTTGAGATGAATAAAAAAATTGTAAAGTGCCAAATTACGCAACAATATATTAGGTGATCACTGATTTCAAAAAACTGGTATACTCTTCTCAGTCGAATAAAACATACATTTTGAGAGGTTATTAATCGAGATCCAAGTTACAATGAATTTTTGACCCCAGAAAATATTTGTGTAAAATTCTAGATCAATAACAGCTTAAAATTGTAAGTTACAGCATATTTCTAATCCAAAGTAATAGCAAAAACCAAAAATGAAGTTCCATATTGTTTTTTTGCGAATTCTACAAATTCGGTCCACAAAAGCAATTGTTGTTAATTTATCCATACGTTGAAGATCCTCTGTAAAGGCGCACAAATGAGTTTTTTACACGGATTTAATTATAACCTATGAAAGAATCGCACTCCAATTATAATTAGGGGAATTATCGTATGCTTTCCTTCAAACTTAATTAGAAGGTTAATCTCCTACATTCGTGGTAGACCCTTAAACGTGCTTTTTAATTTATCTCTTTTTATCTGATGAATGTCCTACCTCTAAGCTAAGGACCTATTTTGTAGTGTTAAGTTGCATGCACTAACAGTCTCCCTTCCGCTATTAAATCATCCCTTATCTTTATGTGCACTAACGACCTAGTCATAATAATGTTTTAAAATATAGCAATTATTCGATTAACAATCTATAAATGACTTGTAATTATGTCGAGTACTTTGAATCGAAACATTAATAATAAATGGTTTCAGATGCGTAAAACAATTCTAATAAAGTATTAGAACGCTGAAATTATCTGCAGTTAAGGATTTATGTCGTGCAAAGCGTACAAAACTAGTAACGACTACATATAAATCTTTAAGTAAAACTTCAAGTCCAGCTCCATAACAAATGTTTACCCTCATAACAATGAAACGGCACCCCGTTAATATAAACTAAAACAACTTAGCAGCGGCAAAATCATGGAAAAATCATGGCATTTTGAAGCTTTCATACGAGTATTCAATTAGAAGAGCAAAGTGAGAAAATGAAAGTTGCCTTGTTGCCGTCACCTGCCTGTTTGGATATTTTGAATGTCTTTAATAGACACATCGATTCAATAAAGTATGAAAGTATGATCTATTTTATAACTATAGTTAACGAAGTTATGAGAAAACATATTTTTTCCACCCGAAGGCAAGCAGCTGTAATAAGTCAATTGACAAGTATATTACCAGTTTAAGAAGTTTGAGTATAATCTACAAATTTAGTGGATCAAAAGAACGACTTATCCTCGGTACTCTGTCCTTATAGAGGAAAATATTAAATATTTGGAAAGGTCACCAAATAGTGCCAGATGTGTTATTTCGGCAAAAAAATGCTCGACAAGTTGAAATTAGTCATTCAGTGATGTCACTGCGCCAAAAATTTTTTGTAACAAACCGAAATAAGGATTGAGTCATCTATATATATTCGATTTGATCAAATTCACTAGATTTCTTGACCTGCTGTTACTACAAAATGGATTATTTTGCAAAAACGGAACATTTCCTAAAATGTGTTTTAAAAACTCGCAGTGAAAAAAAAACATCAAGCACGTGACCGTCATATAAAAAATACATTGTAAGGAAGCGATTTTGCTTCCTTACGTTATACAAGCCTGAATAGCTACCCACAGCGAACCACATGTCAGTCCGGGCTGTCTGTAAACGTCTGTCTGGGATAGTAAAGCATGAACAACCTCCTCCAGCATAAGTCAAGAACTCAAATGTATAAAAGCTTAGATTCAAGAACTCAATAGGTATACAAGCAGAAGTCAAGAACTCAAATATACAAATACGCGAGTAAGAACTCAAAATGTGTAATGACAAAATTAAGAACTCAAATGTATGAAAGGCTAAGTAAAAACTCAAAAGTATAAATACAAGTAAGAAGTCTAAATTTTTAACAGCAGAAATAAGTATTCAAATGTAAATGAGTATTCAAATGAAGAGAAGAACTCAAGGGGAAATTAGAATTCAAATGTGAATAAGAACTCAAATGTAAATAAGTACTCAATAAGATCTCAAACGTAAACAGGAACCCAAACGTAAATGAGAATTCAAATGTGGAAAGCAAAGGTTTAAGAGCCCAATCTGTATAAGAAGACAACCCGACTTATACAATCAAGTAAAATCGAATCGGTATGAACGCAGTAGGATACACACAAAGAAACTGCAGCAGCACTGTACAAAGCTGGTAGCACCGTTAGGGCAAACGAAACATGCAGAACTGACCTTAGGTAGAAAATCTATACATGCAAAACGAACAAACTTCAGCAAAAATCTCTATGTTGTAAAATGCGCAGAATGTGTAGCACCGTTAGGGCATACAAAACTTACAGGGGTAAGTACGTAGGTAGGAAAAATAAGAACATACGACAATGCATGAACTGCACAAAGGCACGATCACACATGCCAAGCACATTAGAAACACACAAAGCAAAGCGTATGCAAACACAAAGGCATAGTAAGGCACAAGCACACACATACATAACGGTGGTTGAATCACGCGATTTGGTAGCTGGGTTGTCTGTTGAGCGGACATTTGAACAAGCATAGTGATAAGCTAGACGTAAGTTATGTATAAGCAGGATCATGCAAGTCGTAACTAAGGTTGCGACTGCAGCCAACCTAAGCTAAGCGTACACCTAAGCATATGTTAACACCTAGAACATGTTGGCAATGGGACAAGCGAGCGAGGGTTTAGCTATAAAAGAGCAGCACGTCGCACAGAATCGTTCAGTTTGGTGTCATAGCCGTCTAGATAAGTACCCACAGACAATTTGACAAGTTGACCTTTACGGAGAGTTTTTTTTCTGACTTTGCGAATAGAAGATGTGCTGGTTCAGCTTTTTAATCGCCATCCCTGAAGGACTTTCAGGACAACTGACTTAACGGATAGGGGATGTGCTGGTTCAGCTTTTTAGCCGCCATCCCTAAAGAACTGGCAGGCGTCTCTTTTTTTTTTATTTTTTTTTGTACTCACATACCAACCAGGGACGAACCGCCGGGCCAAGGCCGCTATGACACTGGCCACGTTTCCGCTTTTCTAGTGTTCCGCGATAGGTAAAAGAAAACCAAGTAATAATAAATAGAAATAAATTTCGTACCACGTGGAAGTCACACCAGAAGTCGGGTCACCTCGCTGGTTCCTTGCCATAGCCAGCTTCTACCCATCGCTGTACTTCTCTCCAGTAAAAAGGAAATAATAAATCAAGCAGTCTGTACACCATTCCCCCCGAAGGTCCGGGTTATTTTTATTCTAAATTTCCTTGCAACGAACCTTGGAGTGGCCGCCCAAGAAAACTCGTTACAACATATATTAACGAGAAGAAAATGATTATGAGAATTTATATTTGGGCCATATTGTGCCCAGTTACGGTCTTTTCAACGTCTGCAACAAAGACAACAGAAACTTTAAAATGTAAATCCGATTGGAATGTTGAGTTAAGCTTTGACATTAATGGGAAGGTGACTGCATTTCAGGTGGATACTGATGCATAGATTAATATTGTGTCCAAACACACAACAAGCAATTTGAATGTGAACAATATATTACAAAAAACATAAAACTTATAACATTTTCGTCGGAAAATTTACGAAAAAATTGGTAAGAAATTGGTATTTTCATAAGGAAACGAAGAATATTGCCAATAATCTTATATTTTGGACATAGCGATAGCACGCAAAAACGTAATTGGTCTTTAAACGACAAATAATACACGATTAATTAAAGAAGTAAATGAAGTAAAGAAAGTTTCTTATGACACCAATTTTGAGGAAAATTCACATGGATTTACTGAGTTAAAAGTTAATGTTTATATTAAAACCAAGTGTTTCACATTATTGAACCAACTTGTAAAATACGATTTTTATTACAGGAAGGAACAACATAATGTAATAAATTCGATAGAAGATCCACTGGGTCTATTCTGCAGTTTTAGTAAAAAAGATTATTGACAAATTACGTAGATAGTTGGGTCATCGGCCGCTAAACAAAGCAATATCTTCTCCCTTCCCGGCATTGAAGATTGTAAATCCAAACTCAGAAATGCTAAGTTCAGGAATTTGTGTACCAATACTTATATTTGGGTGGTGCCTTTAACAGAGTTTTCTTCTTGTGGACATTTAAAACCCCCTTCTGAAGCTACCAATTCTTAACATTGCCATTCAGTATTAATGCCGCACCCGAAATGTTTCTTGTAGAAATGGTTAAAATATTTGAGGACATAGACGGCTTTACATAGATGGCTTTCTAAAACACACATCTAACCAAATTGAACATGATAAAATATTAGAACAAGTCTTAGTATGTGCAGAGGAAAACTTTCGTAAAGACAAATCAAAATTGTTTAAAAAATCTATAAAATTTGTAGGTCTCATTTTTGGTGAAAATGGTATAGGACCATGAAGAAAATTAAAGTCATATTACAAGTGCCTACTCCTACCAATGGCGTTTTTTAAGAATTGTAAATTATTTAGACTCGTTTATTTCATACCTATCAACAAGACTGAAAATTTACGCGATTTACTTAAAACTGACGGTTAGTGGTATTGAGATCATGTTCATCAGGAAGAGAATTTAAAAACAGAAATTGTGCGAGCAACTGCTTTAACGCATTTTAATCCGCGTAAAAAATTAATAATGTCAGTTGATGTCTCCCAATTTGTGGTAGCTGCCACCATTATGCGTGAAGGCAACCCAATGGCGCATGCCTCCGTATCCTTAACGAAAGTTCAAAGAAACTATCGTCAAATATGTCTTTTTTTGCTGAAATTTAGGTCCTGCTTATAATGCTACGATTTGCATGTTATACACAAGTCAGGTAAATACGTACTTATAGTTGATAGAATCGGCAGATTCCCTCCTAATGAAAATATATTAATAAATTTTGATATAGACGCTCTGTATTGTAAACTAATTTTGTCACGAATACAGTTGTTTTCCATGTTTTGAAAGAAATAAAAGGCAAAACTATAAAGGCAAAAAATAAATCCATGGTGGCGTTGTACCTTATTGTACTTCCAAAGACAGTACAAAAAACACTGGAATGATTTCAAAAAGTTTGCGACATAGAATGTTACAATTGTTGGACGAAGGTCATGCAACCATGCAGTGACGCAAAAGTCTTGTATGGTAGATAGACTTTTGGCGCCATATACCAGCGGACATAGGAGATATCGTATCAAGTTGTGAATTGTGTGCTACGTTCGAAAATTGGAACATAAAACAAGAATTTGTTGTATACGATCCACATTGCAATATATTGGAATTCAGGAGCAGGCAGTATTTACTTGATTGATTATTACTCCAAATGTATGAAAATTGAATTATTAAATCCTGGTTATTCTAGCATACAAACTGTTATCAAAATTAAGATTATTTTTGTTGGCACTCCAAATATCTCAGTCCCGCAGAATGTACCACTATTTAATTCAAAAGAGTCTAGAACATTATCCTTACCTCTACAGACGCAGTGGTTTGCGCAAAGACGAGGTCAGGCAAAAAAATTACTTATTTACTTGTTTTGTCGGCACGTATAGTAGCTCAATTAAAGAGAGAAATTGTGAAAAGAGAAAAAAGTCCAAACTCCGTCTGTATAGCACATAATTTGCATAATTTGGTATGTTTTTTCTAGTGACCCATACTACCTGAAGCACCAAATCGGAATATTTTGACCAACATATATCGTATCAATTTTTCTTAATAAATGCCTTCTTCAAGTGAAAAAATGGCCAAAAAATGGAAGCACCTAACATTTATAGTGCCTTTTGCCTTCGTGTACATAAGGAAACTCCTGAAATTAGATTTCGAACTGACTAATTACAGCAACAAATTAAAAGGGCTACGCCTTTTCGCACATCCTATAACCATCGCGATGTTCGATTATTTGGAAAAGATGCAGCACTTTCTGAGGCAATTGGCGGATTGTGTTCCACTTCAATTTTGCTCATATGGACATATAGACATTTCATTTTGCTGTGTTCACATATTTATATCTTTCATTTATTGTATGGTAAGGAAACATCACTTTTTTCTAATTTTTGACAACTTTGCGATTGTGTTGTCTTTTATCAACTGCCAATTCGAGAAGATTTTCAAAAACTTAATTGTAATTTTTATTCACCTCGATTCGCAGTAATATGAGAGTAATTAAATGAGCGGGTCTCATCATTTGTTGCACCTATCGTATGAAAAAACTTTTAATTCTTTTCTTTTTTTTCTTCGGAACTTAAACTTGGCAGCATTTATTAATTGAATTGAGAAATACGCGTAGAATTAAGAAATCAATCCCTGGAACAACAAACAAAACCTGGAACATTGATAAAGCTAAACAAAACCTCAGCAAAATAGTTAAATTTCATTAATAAAATAAATAAATAAAACTGCATCTGATCCTAGATTTAGATTAAATGTATATTTATACTAATTCGAAGTTCGCTCATTCACTCCTCCGCTAGAGTAACAAATTCGAAGTTCGTACAATTACTTCTCCGCTGAAGTAACAAAATTCGAAGTTCGCTATCATGAACAAAAAAAAAACGAAAAAAAATAATTTTCAATACCGTGTAACCGATTTTTTCCGTTTTGTACACATACTGTATGCATATAATGATTACAGAAAATTAAGTTTCGAGCAACAGAGAGAAATATTTTATATTTTTATTTTTCCAATAGTAAATTGCAATATAATGTCTTAAAAGTATATAAATAATTGAAAAAAACAAAGTAAGTAAAGTAAGCGCATGAGCCAGTAAGAGAGTATCGTGCAGCAACTCAATCAACATCGTGGAATATTTTGAGAAAAAAGACGCAAGTAATTTAATATTAAATGTCTGGAATTGGTATTTGGTTTGTGACTTTCAAGGCGTAGTCATAGTATTGGTTTAGCAATAGGAAATTTTCTTCGCATTGGAGACGTAAAAATTTCTAAAGCATAAACCAAAAAGAAAACTGCCTCCTTAATTCTTAGCGTAGGTTTATGTTTGGCTACTCTCAAATTTGCTGGAGCAATATTTTGAACGTTCACAATGTTAATTATAAAGTGTCTTACTTAACGTACCAAAACGACATGATAATTATTTTTATACCCGCTACAGAAAAATGTGTGGCCTGTGTCTTGGATACCATAATATAGACCATAAAAAACAACCAGGGTATATCGTTACGGGTGATGAAAGTTGAATTACATACAGCACAAGGTCACCACCTTTCTCGTATGCTATGGTTATATACATGCTTATACATAATCAAGAAAATGCATCAGTCGTCCTTCATCATGAAAAGAACATTTGGATATGACAGTTGCAACGAATGAGTTTTTGCAAAAGAAAAAGTCCGACAAAACAGAAAACCAATAAAAAAGTTTGAGAAAAATAAATCGGATTTATTTCTAGATAGAAGACTTTCAACCTTGAATATGTGCTGTAACGTTAACGTAGGCAAAAAAAAAGTACTTCCTCATGAAAACTAAGACTTGTGTCAGGAGCAAACATTTAGTCGCAAGCAAATTGGAGCAGCTTTTCTTGGGTGAATACAAACCCTAAACTCGCCTAAGCCCACAGTTCGATGACAAATATAGCGGATACGTCAACTTGATTGAAGGAGTCGTAACACTGCCTTATAATACACATTTGCTGAATGTTCTATACTACGGGTAAACTTTGGAACTCCATAGCTTAAAAGCCTCGACGAGTTCATTTCTAATATCGAATTAGAAAAAGTTAAGAAATTTGCGCAGGAAAGGGGAAAAACATTCAATTTTCATCAATTTTCAAGCCACATCCCTTCTCAGCTTATTGGCAAAACAAGGGCAAAGTGAACCAAATGCTCCCCTATAATTATGAAAACTTTATAACGATTAGATAAACTCGCGATAACGTTCTATCATTGTGTATCCTTCTTTCTTGCTTTTTCCTTTAAAGCAATTCTTCCTATTGTTTCTATTGTGTTGCATTTAGTTCAATATTCAATCACTATTAAAGTCATTCTTTACTTGACAAGTTACACAATATATATATAAAAATTTACCCTTTTGTATGCAAAAAACCGAACAACATTTCGCTGAAAATTAATATGAGGAAGTGGGGAAGAAAGAAATGAAAACGGTTTTTGATTCTCAGCGTCGAGTAAACGGAATATGCTTTTGTATGGAATGCATTGGTGGAATGTATATTGAGTATGTTACTCGGCAGCAATTTTAGAATCGATGGTGAGAAAAGCTCAAAGTCGAGAAATATAAGCCTCGGCTTTTCTTTTTGTAATATGATCAATCACTCGGCCCTATGCGTGTAACACGTTGAGGAATAGAAAGAACTGGGAAAAAAGAAAGAGATAGAAAAGAGTAGTGACTCCAGACTAATGTGTTTATACTCACTCGGTAAATATTATACCTTAAACGGCTCAGTGCCCTCCTTCTAGCTACGACAAAGTATGGTCGCAGGCCGCACTTAATTTTGAATCCGGTAACGCTGACTTGGTAGTCACAATTCTTATTTAATCGACAGATCAAAGCAAACAGAAGAGAGAAAATGAAAAGGGACAATCCAGGGTAAAAAGAGGAGAGATTTGTTATGAGTAGAAGAAAATTGAGGAGTTCGATGAGGATAGCCTTGGATTAAATATAAAAGAGAAATGAGATGAAAGACTCAGTTCGGAAAATTAACAAAAGAATTTCTTCGTCGAAAATATAAAAATACTTGTTACAAAAAAAATTTTGTTTCTTTGAGTTTTCGAAGCAAATTTTAAATAAGAATATTAAATAAATCTAGGATAAATGTTGTAAGACTAAATAGTATAAAAAAGAGATGCGTCTAATATTGCTACTTATGGTTTTATATATATATATATATATATGGTTATTAAAGTATAATCCAGTTTTCTGTCGACGATTATGAGCAACTTTTTGTTTTGGAAATTTTAAATAATAAATTTGTTGACCTGGAATGATGCACAGGAATGTTGCTCTGAGATAAGTGGACGCACATTTACTTGGAACATTTGACTCATCATATGATCGAGTTTTGAAAATTGTCGCAGAAGTCTTCATCACATTTAAATCCGAAACGCAGGTCTGAACACAATTTCACGCCGCCTTTCAGCATGTCATTTATTATTATTATCAGTTATGAAAAAAAGAATAAAACATCCCAAGCTCCAACTGTTACCATAGATAGAAAAATTACTTAAAATATATTCCTCGTACTACAAAAGAAATGTAAGAAAGTTGCTATCAACTGAATCGGTTCTAAAAATGTACCTTCTTCTTATTCGCCACCTGGAAAGGTATTAAAAAGCTAGACTGAACGCAGAACTCAAATATTGGAAGATGGCAGAGCTAACCATCAATATCAAGATAAGAATGTAGGTCAAAATCAAAATAATTCAACTGAAACCCAAAAAATGTATGAAAATCAAAAAATATATACAAACGTATTAGAACAAAAATGTGAATACATATCCACATTTTGAACACGGAGAGTAACACAAAGAATCAGAATTTTGAGATAGTCCGAGCGATTAAACTTGATGTAAAATCTTATATTACGGTGTTTTCTTACATTTTTATTATATTTGCTTATGACTGCTTGGAATATATATATTTTATTCTAACAAATTTACGCTGTAAACTTATTTTTGTTAATTTGTACAGGGGAGATGCTATTTCAATATCTTAGAACGAAATATACAGAACATCTTGAGTTGGAATATTTAAACTATTTTTACTACCATCTTAAACTATTCTCCTACCTCAATTCCTGCTGAGCATCATTCAAGTTTCTTCTAACCTGGGGAGTAATCACGTATCTGTAAGTTAATTTTTGTTCGCGACCAATGAAGTCCAAATGAATATGCAGAAAAAAGGAAAAAATTTTTGTTTATATATAATCGTGCGCAAAAAATATATATAAGTGAACAAGTAAGTTAGTTTTTAGTGCATTTTTTAAATGGGCGAAGCTAATAATTGTGGTATTTCTTAAAACAATAGATCTACACCTTTTCGTGATCGCGTGTGTATAGCTCAAAGCAGCAAAGATGATAACGATTCTCCTAATTGCTTATATGCCGTCGGCCACATTTAAAAACATGCAAAATGAAAATCTAATGGTGGTTACGATTAAAACGAGGATTTCATATAATAGACAGAGAAGACATTGTGAGGAGCCAAAGTCGGACCTCGTTTTGGCCTCACAGTTTCTCCGTCTCTGGTGGGGAGGAGTGCTAGAATAAGTTACAGATTAAGTAGGATAAGAGCGCTCTGATAGACTAAGTGTAGGCTACGATAGACTAAGAGTAGGCTAAAGTAGGCTAAGAGAAGTAGAGTAAACTAAAAAGTAAGTAGGACAAGAAAACTAGGTTAAGAGTTAGCTAGAGTAAGTTAAGCTTAAGGGAGTTGAGTTTAGGCTTTAGAAGGAGTCGGTCGTGAACGTCGAGAGCGAGCAGACGTCCTGTAAGCTGAGACTAGAAAATACGATTGTGAAATATTAAACAATAAAAATGAAGAATATTATAAAGAACCAAAATAAAAAATTTTTTTGATCGATAACCTGGCCAGCTGAGCAATGCCACCACCAGATTCGGGCAATTTAAGCCCTCACAAGTGGCACCCGAGCAGGGACTTCAAATTGTCATGTTATTGGAAAAGGGTGAGAACAAGCAAACAAGCAAAGAAAAGGGCAAGGAATTAATATGCTTGCTGCGAGCACGTAACAACAATGCCGTGTATGCTGAAACCCTTAGGAACCAATGTAAACAAAGTACCGCAACGTCGTCGCCTAAAAACCGTTGCGCCAAAGTACAAAAGAGAAGAAACACTGCTGAAGGCGAATTGGCAACTACAACCTCGGTGCCGTTTGAAGCCGTGTGCGTGGATACGAGCGAAAGGAGACATTCTAAGTGAGATTTCAAAGAAGAAGCAAGTGGCTGATCGCGGAAATAAAAGAAACCGATTAATTGAAGAAAATTCTACCAAAAACAATTTTGGCAACTATAAAGTTTAATGTTCTTATGCAAACAAGTGAAACAAGAACGTACTGTAAAACAAAAAAAAAACAAAAAAGACAAAGAAAAGAAAAACATAAAAACCAGCCAATTCAATAAAGAAAAAGAGGGACAAAATACCGCAACGAATAACCGCAAAGGATTCATGGCAAAGAAAATTTACGGAGTGCAAAGAAGTGCTAAAAATCACGTAAATTTTCCTTTGGTAATCAAAGAATATTTTTGGTAACGATGTTCTTTTCTTACAGGCCTAGAAAAAATATAAAAACTGAACTTTAAGTGCGTGCGGCATTTTACGAAAACACTCAACTCCTCAATATTTTAAGTGGCAACCAGAAAATTTAACTCCATAATGTATAAATTTGATCAACGTTCTGCTTGGAAAGTTAGCTCCAATTAGCTACAATTAATAACGAGTACTAGTGAAACGTCAAAGGAAAAAAGACAGCAACAGCAGGGAAGAACACACCAAAGCAAGTCAACCAAAATCAAACGCCCGCACCACCACTATCATCCCCAACGGAAATAACAACCACATCATCGACAACAAGCAGCAACAACAGGGGTGCTAGTTCAGGTGTGCGCCAAAGCATTTGCTACTAAAAGCCAATGCTTCATGTCAGTGGTTAAGGTGTTCGGCGTGCAGCCAATCTTATATATTATCTCATTATTACTAAATACCTTGTGTAAACAACAAGACTAAAAGAAATTCTAAAATGTGAAACAAGAACACAACCATATCTCGCTTTCGTTGCTCTCACCTTTCGTAGCAAGAAGTATCGCCTATAACGACCTCCGTCCGTGCTCATTTTGGAATTTGCTTAGTACGCATCATAAAGTCCTGACGAATTTCGAAAAAAAAACCAAAGGAAAAACCCCACTACTCCACTTCTATAGCTTTCCAAAGCTAGTTAACACCCTAAACAAAGCCGCTCAATACGGCGTGCAATCGTCCGGTAATGTGAAGGAAAAGACAACAAAAGAGATTTTCAGTTAAAACTTTTTTTTAATGTATATTTGCTGACGAGGTAGATTTTTGCAAAAAAAAGGAAATTAAGTAATCGCTATTGAACAACAAAATTCTGATGAGTCGCGAAATTGAAATTCCGAAGATCGAACAAAATTTAAAAAACAGCACTAAGTTATAAAATAAATAAAATAATAGTAATACTGTGAGAAACAAATATGGGCCGCCATTCAAGGATAAATAGTAGACTGAACGAGAATATCTTCAATCAATAACGAAATTTTGATTTAAAGAAAAAACCTAAAAGTTCGTAAATCTATGCAGCTGAAATTCTTAAAGATACAAATTAAACCAAAACACTAAACAAGATAATTGGAAAACATTTTTCGTTTGCAAAGGAAAAAACTCAAATTAGAAGGGGACCGACGTCCTTTCCCTCTGAATGAAGATTAAATTATACAAACCCAAAGAAATAATTTTCTTTAAACTTTTAGGAAGATTTTTCGTTTACAAATATTAAGAAAGGTAACGTGCGAATGGACATTTCTTCGTTGAAAGGCTTCTTATAGGCCGAAGGTTTCCCTGTACTATAAGGATAATCGAACTTATGAAGAAAGCAGAACGTATTTTCGAAAGAAAAGGAAAAAAAAAGAAGTTACATTCGAACAGAAAAGAAAAAAAGAAAAAAAAAGGAAAAGAAAAAAGAGGGAAAAAACAATAAAGAATAATATTCAGAGCATCCAAGAAATTATCCAATTGCGTATTACCCTTATTATTAACTTTAGTTAAGCCTGCGTACTACTAAACTCCATCCGGAAGCTGCCCCATAGATAACATGATGTCCACGTTACGGGTTAACTCCTTGCATACGGACGAGCTCCAAGCCTGTTCAGGGGAGCTCGACCTGGAAATTACGGGTACTGTGCCAGAGATGAGGAGGCGCTGGGCCCAATTAAGAAACCAGGACCACAAACCCGAAGTCGTTACACGTCTGTTAGAACTACAGACAAAGCTTGAGGCCCTCACCAGGCAGCGATCGCTCTCTCCAGCATCGCATGCGATAAATGTAGCCGACGAGCTACCAATAGACAAGAGATGGTATTCTTACACCCGCCGACGAATCCCAAAACTCTGCACGTACCGGTGACGACGCAGGGGCCAGACAACAAAATGGCACCGGCAACCCATTCCACTATCGCGACAACAACCAACGACACCAGAAAACCGACGAGCACGCCGCTCCGATTTGCGGAGCACATCGAGTTTTCCCGACAGCGACCAACACGAGGCATGTCATCGAAGTAGTCAGCAGATGGGGGCTCAACTTTACCGACAACAGAGAACCGCTCCCGAACGGGTCGAAGAGCTGTCCGAGCCATAATCGACAAAGACCGTTTACCCGCCGCCATAGCGGTAATGCTGTGCGACCGGGGCTTAACGTAAAACCGCAACAACAATCAACACTGGACAGCCTGGGAGAAGTTCCAGGCTGACTTTATGAGGTTCTTCCTACCACCGCGACACCTTGGCCGGATCGAAAATGATATTCGCCGACGCACCCAGCGACCGATGGAAAAATTCCAAGTTTACGTGCTGGGCCTGCACGACTTGGTGCGACATACCACAATGACGGAGGAGCAAAACTTAGAGCGAATTTACATGAACGCACAACCAGAATACGTGTTGTACACACGGCGTCGTGACATTAGCCGTTTAGCCAAACTAATGGAGCTCGCCAACGATTTAAAGTCGATCCCGACGGGCGATGCGTCACGCAAAGCTCCCCAAGAAACATATAGAGAACCCCAGACAGGCGGTTGGCGGCGTCGGCAAGGAAACAACAGGAATTGGCCAGATGGGCTTTGGAATTGCAGCAGTACGACTTTGAAATCCATTACTGGCGCGGAACGAGAAACGTGGTGGCCGATGCGCTTTCCCGACAACCACCCGAGAAGTTCAACCGCGTAGTGACACAAACCGAGCCACCCGTAGCATGCCGGTGGCTAGCCAAGTAGTACAAGAGGTTCAGATAGAACCGCAGAAATTTCCGGACTTTATCGCTAGCGACGGACGGTTATACCGCCATTTTCCACGGAGCAACGTGGACGAGGGAGAAGTAGCATGGAAATTATGCGTGCTAACACCCGTGAGGACCAAGATTTTGCGGGAGAACCATTACGAACCCACAGCGGGCACCTCGGTATACGTAAAACGACACGCCGAGTTTGCAGCCGATACTATCCGCCTGGGATGCACCAAGACATCGCCCGGTACCTACGAAATTGCCGGAGCTACCAACAATACAAACCGGTCCAGCGGAAGCCGGCCGGAGATATGCTAACGGGCTTGCCGGAAGAGCCGTGGTCGACAGCAGAGTTTGTGGGACCATTACCAGACGAAGGCGGGCCACACGATGCTCGGAATATTTTTGGACCAGTTCTCCAAATGGGTAGAGTAAGTCCCGCTCAAAGGAGACACCGCAGTCGTGCTGATAGACGCCTTCCGAGAGCGCATCCTTAGTAAGTTCGGCACACCGCGAGAAATCGTCAACGATGATGGGGTGCAGTTTACAAGTAGGCACTTGCAGAGCTTTCTCCTATGGATCGAAGTCAAGCACCGGCTCACCGCACCGTACGCTCCACACGAAAACCCTACCGAGAGGGTCAACAGAGCCGTCAAGACGACCATCGCGCAATACTTCCAACACCAGCACGCACCATGGGATCAATGTCTGCCGGAAATCACCCTGGCCGTGAATACCACGGTCTCAGATTCCACCGGCTAGCCCATGGCGTACATCAGTCAAGGACGCCAGCCTAGACTGCCACGCGTCTTCTAT